ACAGCCTTGCTATCCGACATAAAAGAAGGTTTTACATTTAGTGTAGATTATCGAGTCACGACTGTGCAGTTAGAAATGTTCTAATTTCTTAATATTAAATAAACAAACATTAAGACAAGCAATTAGAGTTTAAGGACCACAGGACACGAGAAACTAGCAATACACAGAAACCCATTAAAACTTCTTTTTTAATATTTCTCTCACTCAGGCCAAACACATCTCCACATTACTGTCTTACATCATTCTCGCGGTTATCCGTATAAGTTTATGTGATTTGTAATTCCTCACCCCTTAAGACCACAGTATTGCCCATCCCTAGTTTTTAAAAAGTTGCCCACACATTACTCTGGGGGGAAGAGGAGAAAGCAAGAACAGTTGTAGGTAGCATCAGGGTAGGCCTGACTGACAGGCTGATGACACACCATATGGAGACGCTGGGCGAATTTTACCCTGAGGGGGACAACAATGTTTTTTTATTATTTGTTTGCCTCATCCCTGTCAGCTTCTCTTACGAAAACGAGAGGGAAGAGACAGCCAGGTTGTGGAGGCTGACAGCCGCGCACGCAAACACAAGAAAGTACGCAGACGCACGTGTGCACAGAAATGACAGACTGTAGTCGGATACGGACGAGGTAGAGACACGAGAGCAGGCAGTCGGGTGGTGAAGACGTACTGTAAATACTGGAGAGGGACGGATGGAGAGACGCTGTTCTTAATTTTGGGAAGTGAAACGACACGTCAGGTTTGCAGCCAACTGACTCGAGTTACTTTTCAGATGACGGCATAATTAGGGCATGACCTGTCACGTAAGATAAAGGAAAGCGCTGCCCTACCAGCAGAGGATCAACGGGGGCACTCACTCCCTCCCTATATACAATATTCATGTTTGTAGCTTTAAAACATGCCAATTATAATCAGTTGTGAGGTTTAAAATGCTGATTTTTTTGCCTACAACCAAACGTAATACTGTATGTATATATAATCTGTAACGTCAAATAATTACTACGAACTTCACAGATTAAAAATTGTTAATTGTTGCTTTTTTTTTCTTTAAGGATTAGAGACGAGGAGATCATTTTCATTTCAAATTCAAGCCAATCAAGTGTCAAGTTAGATGCTGTACAGAAAACGTACCTGTTTGGAAGCTTCAGAGGAGGAATGGACTTCATTTCCAAACGTTCCATTTATCTGCAACGTTGCTGTAGAAGTAGAATTGTAAAAAAAAAACCAAAAAAAACCATAATTATCCTGTTCTGAAATGTAAAGCTTTCATTAACAGATTAGCTTTATCATTTAAATACCATCAAATAACAGTCACATGGAGAGACATTATGTAAAGTCAAGACTGTATAAGTCTGTCTGAAGCATTTAAAACTGAGTTTAAACCAGCATTTAATCTCTCTCCATCAGTATTCAGTTAGTTTTCAAAACAAAGCCTCCTGCTCACCTTGTGGATCCAGTCTGGGGTCGACAAACCCCCAGTGCTGATAGAGAGCTGCCAGTTCGTGGGGACTGTAATTTTTCAAGAGACTGAAAATATCAATGTCCATTGGCATCTCTCCTGCTGATTCATTCTTTCCCTGAGCAAAAAGGAGTGGATCTAAATATGCTTTGCTTCCATGCAGGCCCCACATGTTCATGGCCGCCCACAGATCGGGGCCCTTTGGAACCGAAGCGAAGTCGTACGACTGCCTGCGGGAATGGAGTCTGTCTGAAGCTACATTAGAAGAAGTCCCGCCGTGATTTCTTGCCAGCATAAAGCCTAACCCCTCCTGTGGGAAGCTTCCCTCCACTGTTGCTCTGCTGCCCCTGTGTTTGGGGCTGCTCGTAGGCTGGAAACTAGGGAGGCTCTTGCTGTGCACAACACTGTTGGATGAAGTAGCCTTGGAGCTGGAGCCTTTACTCCCACCCTCCGCCGCTCGGTTATGTTCACCAGACTTCTTCTGAGATGGGAGTCCGGCCTTTCCACTGGACTGTGTCCCATCTGAAGATCGCGAGTCCTTCGACGGATGCTTGGACTTTGGGGGGGCCGACTGGGTCTTGGAGGCTGAGTGTTTGCTGCTGCTGCTGCTGCTGCTGCTGCTGCTGGGGGCTGCGACGCCTGGAGGCTGTGTGCGCTGCGTTCTTGGAGCCGGTAAAGCTGGGCAGTCTTTGCCTTCGAGAAACGGCGGCGGCCCTGTGCGTCTCCACTGGGAAACTCCTGCCTTCAAACTCTTGATGCTGTTGACGCAGGGTGCCCACTTGGGTGCCACAGAGCTGCTGCCGTCCACCCTGTGCGCCACTCGCTGATGGATCCACAGTACCTCTGGATAGTTGGTGGTGTGGGAGCAGTATGGACACTGATGTCTCACGAGCCCCTCTGTTTTCACTGAATAATTCACAGTACTATCTCCTTCAGTTATGGGTAATGAAGACAGATTGAGGAGGCTGCCAGCGTCACCGGTCGCGTGTCCCTGCCCTTTGACCTCTGTGCCGTTTGACTTTTCTACTTTAATGTTCGACTCAACTAACTCCTGGCTTGGAGGACACGTGTAGGGATTCCAGTATGGCTGACTGAGCAGCACGCTCCTGCTCCTGAGGTAGTCCATGTATCTTGAGGCTTTGGAACCGCTTTTGCTAACGCTGTCCAAAACGGTGCTCTGTTTGCTGTAGGGAACCAGGAAGTCCTGGTGCTGCCGGTGCAGGTGAGACCTGAGTAGTGAGGCGTCGACAGTGTGGAAGTCACAGTGCTCGCAGAAGTAGTTTTTTCTATCTGTAGGTCAGAAAAGAAGAAGCGGTGTAAAGAGAATTCATACAGATGAAAGAGTTGTGGCATTATGTGTACAACACGCAGTCCGAGGAAGAAAAATACTGTCAAACATTAAAGGCTGTCACTTGTCTGGAATGAATGTTGGAACAGAGATAATACAATACGAGTAGATCAGTGTAAAAGTGGTAACTATTCTCTCTGCAGTACGGCCTATTGACACTACAAAAAAGACTAAACCGTTTTTTATGATGAATTAAAGCCCAAACTATTCATTTAGTTAAAATATTTTGGAATTAAATTTTTTATGTCCCTTAAAAATCTGACATGAGGACACTTAAATGATTGTGGATTATCAAAATCCTCTTGTATTAACGATGTAATTCAATTATACAGTCACTAGAGGGCTCCCTTTTCCACAGCACATTGCTAAACTGTGACTGACTTCTACACCAGAGTTGAATTTCCACTCTGATGTCATTGTAAGCTGAACCTACCTCACAGCTATTCATTACAGACATCTGCATGACCACAAACGTCATTTTTGCTAGATCAAAAAACATGCACTATCAAGCAACTGATCTGATAATTAATTCCTGTGTTTAAAGACTGTAAACTACTGTCTTGTTCAAACTGTACAGACATTGCAGTGTGCTGTGGTGTTCTTGGCTCACCTTCCTGCTCTTGGATCCTGATGTTGTTGCTGTGTTTTGATGAGAAGTGAACATCTTTGACCTTCTTAGTCTGCAGTGCCTCATAAAACGCGTGACCCAGTCCATTCAACAGGATGCGGTCCTTCTGGCAGATCTTTTTGTCGCCACCTTTAGTGTGAGCCAAGCTGTTTGATGTCTGATCGAGGCCTGTGTCGGCCTTCTTCTTCTTTACACTGGTGCTGGAGGATTCAATTTGCTTCCTCTTCTTCTCCTGCTTTAGGGGTACGTACTCGCCTTTTTCTGTGTCATAAGCCACCTCAGCATCGGCTAGTCTCTCCTCCCACCCGAGACACTTCTCTGTGGCCTCCACCAGTCGTCCCCTTGTGGCCAACTGCCATGCCTGGTAACTACAAACTGGATCCAGCTCAGGAATCCGCCTGCCCAGACTCCTTTCCTCAGGAGTTTCTTTAGGTCCAGCACATGTGAGGTTCAGGCTGTCGAAAAAATGCTTCTTAGAATTGTGCAGCTCGGCGGCCTCCAGGTCTTCCTGTGCTGGATTCTGCATCTGAGCACGGCTCTGGTTCAGTTTATGCAGCTTTTCATGTATCCTCAGGGTCTTGCGGTCAAAGAAGAAGTTACCACAGCCTGCACAGAGCTCATAGAGGCACTCTTCATTGATCAGTGATGCTGGGTCCTGAGGAACTCCATTGATGGTGGCCGGAGGGTCGTTACTTTTGCTGCCCCGCAGCTGGGCTTTGACCCGGTGGATGCGCATATGACTTTGGAGGAACCAGGCTTGGCGGAAGCGTCGTCCACAGATCCGGCAACCGTGATCCTGGGAGCCGCGATGCCTTTTCATGTGGGACTTAAGGAGTAATACCTGAGGGAACGCCTGGCCACAAATAGTGCAGGAAAAAGACCCGGCATCGGCCCCATCGCCGACCTCGATACCGTCTTTGCCCTTAACTTTCTTCTTGGTTCCTTTCTTCTTTACCTTCCCATTGACACGAGCCTTCTCAGACGTGCTGCTGATTTCAGGAGGCTCAGCTATAACAGCATCATCTTTTTGTCCTTGATCTTCGTCCCCCTGCTTGTCGCTGAGGTTGTGGCTGAACAGGCCCAGTTTATGGCTTCGAATGTGGGCCTTCAGACTGCCCTTCTGAGCCGTCCTGTGCTCACAGTAGGGACACTTGTACGGCTTCTCCCGAGTGTGTCGTCTCATGTGCTGAGACAGAGAGCTGAGGAGAGGAAAGCTTCGACCGCACACCCCACAGGTGTGGCATGACGTCACGTCTTCCTCCGCCTCTGCCTTCACATTAGCTGCGTGTTTCTGCGATGCATCCTCCCTCTCTTCTGTCTCCATCACTTTTCCTGGAGCACCGGTACGGCAAAAATCACAGCTGTTAATAAATCCTCTCACTAAGTTTATGCTCAGAAAGTTGCTAAGTTCTCAGAAAAGGCATCAAAAACTTGAAAAATATCACAGCTTTAGTGTCCATCCTGATGTTTGAAGAGACGCTCTTTATCGGTTTCAGAAGAATACCTGAAAATGAAAAAAAGATAATAAAAATGAAAGCAGTCTTATGATCACTACATTTAACAAAACTCGCAAAATTACTAAATATCTAAAAAGCCTCTAAACATTGTATTACCAAATTTGTCCAAGCCTACAACAGTCTTATCTATGCATAGACCACCTTTTACCCAGTTTGTGTTGCTTTCTATGCATCACAGGCCACCATTCATAGTGTAATGTTGAATTCTTAATAGCAGGAATAATCAAACAGTAAAGCCCAAAACTGTTGGTGGTCTTGGCTTTTGTTGACCTGCTGTCCAATAAACATGAATGATCGCAGGAAAGATTTACAGCACTTAAGTGATATAATAAGACAAACCCTGGGGATAGAACAGGCACAAGCGTTGACAGATTTTAGAAAACATCTGAAACATTGAAGTATAACGGTTAAACTAGCAGCCAAACAACATCAGACTGGTTTCACTACAATGACAACAGATTTGTCTTATAGAAAAACAAACAAACCCTAGACAGAGAAAGAGTAAAAACCCACAGTGGCCATTTGCATCCCACAGATTTTGGAATGACCTTTGTCCCTTCCTGGATGAATGACGCCTGTCTGTACATATTAGACTGCGGGTCAGTGTCTCAACATGCATGTGTCTGTCCGTCCTTTGCCTAAATTGAGTGTGTGAGGTGAAGCATGAACAGATGTATTCATTCCTGGCCGACCAGGATGAGCCCTGAGGGGCCATCCACTCTAATTCACGATCAATAATCCATTATCAACAAACTTCATTTTAGAAACTCACTTGCTGGCACATAGAGAGTCCTGAATCTGGGTGCTGTGAGTAAAGGTAGCAACGAGGTACATTTATAAATGTTTAAACAAGGGGAGAAAGCCCATGACAACGTGTGTTAAATTTCTATTTTGATCCTTTCTTTCCTCTCTAACATCAGTTCTCATATGATGAAGCCCTTAATTTAAAATAATCCTCCATGATTGTGATGCAAATCATCACAGCTGCAAGGAAGCTGACTGTCACACGAGAGGCTTTGTTCGTCTTCAAACATCTTGTTAAAACCTCAACAAAATCACCCAGAGAAGCATCGACGCTTCATGTGCTCCACATGAAAAATTGGCACATGGCACGGGTATAGTCTGATGTGCTTAAGTACGTTCCTGAGGCAAACGGGACCATTTGTTCGACTGTTTCAGTGAAAGAAGGTACTCTGTGGTATATAGCCAGCGAGGCAGTCAAAAGAAAAACCTGCTATTGTGTCGGCCGCACCAGAACTGTCACATCGCCTCATGTCTGGCCCTCCACCCCTCATTAGGGGGTCGAGAGAGTTATTGTTAAACCAAAGAGGCCTGGGCCTACACATCACTGTCTTCGAATACATGTCTGGGCAGAGAGGCAGGACAAAAGACGACTCTTGTTTGTCTCGTCAGTCCTTGAATGTGAGGAAAAAACTAGGTGCACATAAAGGCCAGAAAAAAAGAGGCTGACTCTGGTATGATTTTGCGGGGGATGAGGCTGTCCGTCTAATTATCTGTATCTGCATCCACAGTCGCATCTGCCTGCGTGCATGCTCGCGGTCATGTGTGCTGATCCGCTCACGCTGGAATGGGTGTTGAATCCGGAGTACAGAGGAGTTTAGGAGGGTTTTCTGGACATGGCAGGTGTTTGGTAGGCAGACGCTATCAGATTAGTGCACGGGCAATGTGGCGCACTGTCTCCAAGAGGGGGGGAGGACGTGCAAGAGAAACTGGAGGGGTGGCAATTAAGGGGTTGGGGTTAAGGCGAATGTAATGAGTTAACACAATAGGGATAAAGTCAGAGAGCTGAGGGCAACAGATGGGAATAACCGGGCCATCAGTATGGAGTTAGCCGCCACTACAGTATGAGCTTATGCCTTTGTCAAAGCAGCCATGTGCCATATATCTGCATTTGTACTGTGTTTGTGTTAATCAGTCAACTTCTTTACTGCATTTCCATCAACAACAATTATTCTGGATCCAGTTTTCTTCTCCCCCCTCCCTCCCTGCACTTCACTGTTTTGGTTTTTTTTTTCCACCGCTTCTACTTTCATCCCATAAACACTCAAAGCCCTTTAGACGATCTGTAAAGTAATGTAGATAGCCAAACGTGTTGCTCCGGGGCTTAACTCATTTCTTTCAGAATCCCTCGCTCCCTTTCTCTCTCTTTTCTTTGGCAGATGAATAGGCATGTCCAGTCAGCTGTCCTCACATTGATTCATCCTGACGTCCCAACCAGCTCAGCACAAACTCCCTATGGTCAGGGCACTGATGCTGAGAGCCTGTGTGCTGTAATGTGTGTGCGTGCTCGCATGAAAATATCTACTGCCGGTGTGTTGTGTGTGTTTGTGCACTGGGGGAAAAAAAAAAGCATCTCCCTCTCTGGCACATAATGCACCTAAATACCTCAAATTTGTTTTTGCAAGAAAGAAACGTCTACTTACAGCTCATATCTGCAAAATTCAAATAAAATATGTGAAAATATTTGCTTTCCTCAAATATGTGTGTGTGCTCCATGACTGTGTGCGAGTGTGTGTGTGTGTGTGTGTGTATGTGCTGAAGTCATCCAAATATTCACATCCACGAGCCTGTGCCAACATACCCCTGACTGGAGATAGCATGTGACTGTCCTTATGCTAGTGTTCAAAGCCATAGTCACTCGCTAAGCCTCACCTCGCATCTACTGTTTTATGTCCAATAATCCTGTCTGTCTACAACTGAGGCACAAAACAGAACTGGTGCACAAACAGAGGATGCTTTCTGTGCTGTAAATGCATGCACAAGATATTTTCTACGATTATTTTCCCGATCTTTAAGTTATCCCTCCAGATTTGCAGTGCAGTAAATTTAAAATTCAGTTGTGTCAGTCATTGACTAATCATAGTAAACACTATGTTGGATATTTACCTACAAACTGAAGGCAAAATCAGCCTCAAAGTAATCCGATTACACTATACAGTATATATAATATTCTAGAGGAATATATTGCTGGTAATTAGTAAATATTTACTACTATATTAACTGTCCACATGTAAAGCCAGTACCTTATTTTAAACCTACTGCCTGACTGAGAAACAAAAACCTCCCATACAAATGCAGAATTAGCTCTTATTTTTACTCAGACAAGACGTCGGTGTTGTATTTTGAAGAACGAGCTGCTTGAAACTGCCCTTTAAATGTAAATTGCTTAAAAAAACCTGCTAAAATCTGCTTTATATCAATGCTCTGAAACATACATGTTGTACTTCAGCTCTATCAGCTAAACTCTGACGACCAGTGAGCAGCTTTCTGTGTTGCACTCCTCATTTTTCACACATTCCTAATGGATGCAACAAACAGCCAGTCAGCCGTATTGAACACCTGTACAGAGGAACAGGTTTCTTTTTCCCTTATCTCTGTTTTGCTGCAAGTATATTCTCTGCTGATTCATTGCTGATGCAGCTCAAGATGACTCCTTCCAGATGCAGTGGAGTCAACATAGACTCCCAGGTGCCTGCATGAGACGACACCAGTTGGTGTGCTCGACATCATCAATCACACTGTAAACACTTAGCTTCAATAAAAGAACTATGAGTGTGTTTACAGACTGGTTTGTAAAAGGCTGCAGAGCTTCCAGAACGCTAATGAAGTCAATGCACCCGTTTAAAGCGAAGCTATTTCATTTACAGTTTGTTTGTACCTTCTTTAAATTCCTCCACAGATATGTATCATCATAAAACTGCTATTTCAGGCTGCGTTTCCAGTCGCCTGGTGAGACTATAGAGCTAGCAGAGGGGGGCTGACTCTCCTCGGCTAATGCATGAATGCTCACAAGTCGCAGCAACAGGACATTTCCTCCGTTCTGCCAGCACGGCCTGAATGCAGCATTAGAGCTCTTAGAATATCCTGGTGACCATAGAGCTAGCGTGGTACAGCCAAGTGCTGGGAGAAGTGGCCAAACATGAATTATAGACGGTGACAAACATCACTCCCATCTTACCCAGCAGTCTTTCAGGAGCATCGGACACACCTCTGAGCACACCTGACTATCTCACCACGGCCGGCTGATCCATTTCTGGTTTGCAACTAACGTCAAGGCTTACAGCGTTCCTAGAATGACTTAATTGCAGGAAAAAACAGTGAAGCAGCGCCACTACTGTGGGCGAACAGCCTAATGTACCTAAAAGATTAGACAGCCATGAGCTCAACAGTCACAAGCACGGACAAACTTGCGCACACTGGTGCCCATCCCCCTCCTTCGCCAACTCTCCACTCGGTTACACAACATATACAGGGATTACTCTTCATTGCATGAGATGAGCCGCTCAATGAGTGGCCTTTTATCATGGATGCCCCTTAGTGCATTAAGAGGCATCCATGACATTACAAAGCGGAGACAAGAGAGACTCGTGATCGTTTTACCTGTTGTGGAAATGCACAAGATGTCTGGTGCAGGCCCTCATGCTGACAGCTAACTGAACGGCGCCCATGAAGGCGGAAAGGCAAAGATGAAGAGATGTGATCTGCAGGAATACTTGTATCTCCTATTAGGGGAAATTATGAGTGTTATCTGCTGTGGTAGGTGTGAGGATCCACTGTGGACCCACTCTGTTTTCAGTGTGGATTGGCTAGTGTGGGAGACACTGGAGTATAATCTGCTGGCATTAACTTGCTCTCTAAAAAAAGCACTCTCGACAGGGATTAGATTATCATGGCAAGGTCAACTCAGACTCACTCCGACTGTCTCCCTTTATGTCTCTTTATCACTCGGGTTTGTGTCTTTTACTCCGCTGGTTTTCCTCTCGTCGTTCGTCCTCCTGTCCTCAGG